AACAGCATCATCTTTTAGGATTTGAAATAGTTCAAATGGAATTCTATCACCTCCACTAGCTTTGTTCGTAGTAATGCTTCCTAAGACTCACTTGACTTCTCATTTCAGGATGTCTGGCTCTAAGTGAGTGTTCACACCATTGCAGTTATCTGGGTCATGAACATCTTTTTTCTACAGTTCTTCTGTGTATTCTTGCCACCTCTTCTTAATATCTTCTGCTTCTGTTAGGTCCGTACCATTTCTGTCCTTTATTGAGCCCATCTTTGCATGAAATGTTCCCTTGGTATCTCCAATTTTCTTTAAGAGATCTCTAGTCTTTCCCATTCTATTATTTTCCTCTATTTCTTTTCATTAATCACTGAGGAAGGCTTTCTTATCTCTCCTTGCTATTTTTTGGAACTCTACATTCAAAAGGGTATATCTTTCCTTTTCTCCTTTGCTTTTCACTTGTCTTCTTTTTGCAGCTATTTGTAAGGCCTCTGCAGACAGCCAAACTCTAGTACAAAGTTCAAATAATTAGAATACTTTTGTACTAGTCAAAATATTAATAAATGAAGCCTAAATCAATAAGTAAGAATACAGAGCCCAGAAATAAACCTACACTTATATGACCATTTAATCTATGACAAAGGAATTAAGAATAAACAATGGGGAAAAGACAGATCCTTAAATAAGTTTGGGAAAACTCAACACTTACATACTAAATAATCTAAGTGGACTAATTTCTCACACCATATAAAAAGATAAACTTAAGATGCATTAAAGTCTTAAATGTAAGACATGAAACCATGCATTTCTGAGAAGAAAACTTAGGCAGTATTCTCTCTGACAATAAACTCAGGAATTTTTTCAATATGTCTCCTTACACTAAGGGAACCAAAGTGAAAATAAACAATTAAGATCATCTCAAACTAAAAAGTTTTGTACAGCAAAGGAAGCTATCAACAAAATGAAAAGGCAGTCTGCTATATGTGACAAGATATGTTAAATAATGTATCCACTAAAATTTCAATATCTAAAATATAGAATGTACTCATATAACTAAGCACCAAAATAAACAAAAAATATCAATTTTAAAAATGGACAGAGGACCTGAATAGACTGTTTTTTATAGAGAAGATATACATATCACCAATAGACAAATGAAAAATATGCTCAATGTTATTAATCATTTACAAAGTGCAAATCAAAACCACAATCTGTCAAAATGGTTTTGTCACATCTGTCAGAATGGTTTTCATCAAATAGATAAAAAATTACAAGTGCTGGCAAGTATGAGGAAAAACAGAACGCTAGCGTATTGTTGGTTAGGTTGTAAATGGGTGCAACAATTACAGAAAACAATATGGAGTTTTTGCAAAAAAAGTAACAGTAAAAATAGAACTTCCATATGATACAAACAATTTAACTTCTGGGTATTTACCTGAAGAAAATAAAAATTCTAACTTCATATTTCTATGAAGTTCTAGGTGTAAGCTTATGTTGTCTGTTCAATGTTTTACTTGTTTCTTGATGTAGGATTTTATTGCTATAAAACTCCCTCCTAGAACTGCTTTTGCTGCATCCCATAGATATTGAGTTGTCATGTTTTCATTGTCGTTTATTTATAGATTTTTTTTTTGTTTTCCTTCTGATTTCTTCAGTAACCTGTTGTTATTTAGAAATGAATTGCTTAATCTTCATGTGTTTGTGTTTCTTACAGTCTTTTTCCTTTAATTGATATCTAGTCTCATAACATTGTGGTCAGAGAAGATGATAGATATGATTTGAATTTTCTTAAATTTACTGAGGTTTGATTCCAATTATAAGCACTGAATTGAAGCTGTGATCAAAAATCCCCCAAAAAACAAAAGCCCAGGAGCAGATGGCTTCACAAGAAAATTCCATCAAACGGCTTTCGGCTTTTTTTCTGCTGACTGCTAAGATTTCCTATAGAGAGCTGCAACAATGCCCAAAAGAAAGGCTTGTGCAATGGATCTTGCGATTTTACAGAGCTGACAGCAACCTTGTAGCAGGTAGTGGCGGGAAGTTTTAAAATCCGCAGCTGGCTTCTCAATAAAATGCGCTGACGTTTTAACAAAGAGGCTGCAGGTCAAGGTGATATGAAGCAAGAGCCAAAGAGAAGATCAGCCAGACTGTCTGCTTTGCCTGTGCCCATTATACCAGAGTTGAAGTCCAAAAGAACATCAACTCCAAGGAAAATGAAGACCAAAAATGATATGATGGGAAAAAACACAGATGCAATTGCCAAAACCATAGCTGAAACAAAGAAAGAAGTTGTTAAAGAATACAACAATGAAGCTGCTGAAAATGGAGGAGCAAAAATTATAGAGGCACCAGTTCCTGAAAGAGAAATAGAGGAAATAAAAGAAGAAAAAATTGAAGATATCAAAGAAGAAGGAGAAGAAAAGAAAGAGGTAGTGGCAAAAGATGGAAAAGAAGATGAAAAAGGAGATGGAGATCAAAATAAGGAAGAAGTGAAAGGAAAAGATATAGAGGAGGACAAAGATGGAAAAGGGAAAGAAGATGAAAAAAAAGATGAGGGGAGAAAAGAGAAAGAAGA